AACGTTGAGCCACCACCTAGACAACCATCTAAGGTTCAACGTAAGAAACCTAAAAATCAGGATAATAGAAAACCTAGTCAACCTAAGGACACTAGACAACCTAGACTAAAACCTAGGAATGAAAATGTTCATGGTAGACAACCTAAGAAAAATAATTTTGTGCATAATAATAATTTTTCTCAAAATAGGAGAAATAACATGAGGACACCTAGAAATGATTCTTTTGAAAACATGCATAAACCATCCTTTTCTCAAAATAGGATGAATATGGTTAGACCCCCTAGCTATTATCAGCCTAGGCATATGTTCAACCCAAACGTAGTATGCCATTATTGCAATAGGGTAGGACATATAGCTCCCGTGTGTTTTACCAAATATAGGCACTCCACCTATAATGAAACACACAACATATTTGGTGCTAACAAAAAGAAATCCTTTGGAAAAGGATATTCGTATCATAAACAATCTCCACAGGATAATGCACATAAGAAACCTTACTATTTCTTCTACTTTGACGAAAAGAAGAAAGTCCACATTCTGTTACCGGAACCAACACAAATCATACCGAGATATCGGCACTCCGTTCAGGTAGACTGGAACCTGCCAACCATGAGATCATGGGTTGGCCAAGGTAATTCCTAAACGATCATCTAATCGGGTGTGTGTGTGCATGTAAGGAAACGAATTTTTGGGTGTGTGTGTTAACTAACCCCAAGGACCCATAGACATAGTTTGGGTACCAAAGTGTTGCTTTTTTTGCAGGTACATATCAAAGTGAGGAACTCAGGGGGAACCAGCGATGGGTGGTTTATCCCATCGCTGGGAAGGAAGTATTTTCTAACCAGCAACCCTATTCCCATCGATGGGAACTTCTTCCCATCGCTGGGTGTTTGACACTTTAAAAAAAAAATTTAACGGATTTCCAGTAGCTGTCTGAACCTTACCATCGCTGGGAAGCCTATTCACTACAAAAAACTTGACTTTTTGTGGCACCATTTTTTGCCAAAAAACATCTAAAATTAGCCACTATAATAGTTTGTAGCAATTTTAAATTTTGCCACAAGGTTGCCACAAATACCCCGTTACAAAAGGTATTTGTAGCAAATTAAAATTTGCCACAAAAAATATGGATTTTGTCGCAAATTTTGATTTGCCACAAATGAAACTTTGCCACAAAAGCTCATGTTTAGTAGCAAATTTGAATTGCTACAAATAATTCTTTGCCACTAAAACTGATGTTTAGTAACAAATATATTTTGCCACAAATACTACTTTGACACAAAAACTCTTGTTTAGTAGCAAATTTTAATTGTTACTATTATTACACTATTACAATAAACTAAATGCGAGATATAACTTGAATTCTTTACTCTGTTTTTTTTTTTCATATAACTTTTTTTATGGAGAAAAAGTAAATATAATGGACCTTTTTTTATTATGCCAACAAAAAGAGGGTACAAGTAGGTCTCTTAGTAAGAGCCTCAAGTCATGGAAAAAACAAGAGATCAAAGTAAGTCATACAAGTACTAAAGAAAATTACATATGTCCTCTCTAAAACCGAAGCTACATTGGTCCCTGAGCATGCTTTATCCATTTTTCCTTCATGTGAACCTAGCACCATATATAGTTGTATCTGTATAATGATGGCTAGATTGTGTGGCTTTCCTTAGGTACATACCCCTCATATTTTGCTTTGTTGATCTCTATATCATTCTTGGTGCAACAAGCCTCAACTTCCCCTTGTCTTTTTTTAGTAGGAGAATTGCCATTCAAGGCAGTGTTTCTTGAGTCTCTTCTCTTAGAAAAGTAAATAAGGAATGTGACAAAAGATTCCTTGCAGCATCTTCTAGGTGAAGAATTGCAGTTCAACCAGGGATCTGAAATTAGTTCCATATGAAGCTGTTAGAGATACTCCTGGTTGCTGATGTTCTGCAGGCTTCATATGCAGCTTTGAGGATTAATAATAATCAACATACCAAACTATTATAAATTAAAGTACTTATAAAGCAAAAGTCGTACTCCGTATATATTATGATTCAAAATAATATATATATGGTTTTTTAAATTTAAACAATTAAAGATTCATAATAATATTGTAGTGTTTTCAAAGGATGATAAACTAAGCATGTTGTTTTCAATGAGAAAATACTTATTACTAGCGCCCAAAAGAATAGAACCTGGATCAACCCTAGATCCTACCAAGAAGAAGACCCAAGTGTACGTGGCGGGATGAAATAATACATCCAAATTAAAATTAAAAACTTACAAACAAGACAAACTTAACCCGTGCGACGCAGGGAAGTGTGATACACAGGTGCGAGAGGAATCACTAAAGGAGGATTAGCCACAGGCCCCTGCAGAGGCACTAAAACTGCCCATAGTTTTAAACAAACAGAAGGAAAGTATGTAATCATTCAAAAGATAGGCATGCATAAAATCACTACAATAGTGAAGAAATTAAAGACGAACCATTTTCTGAAGCTTTTTGGGGATAAGGATGAGATGCTTTACTCTTAGGCCGAGGTGGGGGCACATGTGCTATTGTACCATTTTTTTGGACCTTCAAGAAATACTTTTAGGCATGACTCCGAATCTGCAGGTTAATTTCTTAAAAAATTAGTAAAGCACACACGCGCAGGCATGTATGTGTATTAGTGTATTATACACACACAAACTGCAAAAATAGTCAATATCCATTTTATCATTTGATAGATGCTTTGTGGAAAAGGAAAGCCAGACATGTAATCCGTAATACATTTCGAAAGCAATCACAATTTGCACAAAATTCATTGAAGCAAGAACACAAGAACAGAAGAAAAAGAAGTAATTGCTAACTGCCTATTAAAGATGAAATGGTACCTGAATCACTATCTTTGAACCCACAAAATCTTCAATTTTCTTCCAGTCACGATCAAACCTGAAACTCCCCGATAGAATTTAAAAAAAAGAAGAAGTTTAACACTCCGTATAATAAAGCATCAGAATACGGTTCCTATACCAAAAAGAGAATCCCTCTTTATACTCCGGCAAATTATCAAGAAACCACATCAACATTGAACATTTACACTATGTTTGGTTCAAGGAATTTGGAAGGAAAAGAAAAGAAAATGATTTTCTTTCATTTTCCTCACCAAAATGGGAGGAATTTGATTTTCCCTCCTCTTAGTATATTTTGTCTTCTCATTTTCTTTTTCTTCCACTTTTCTTTTTTTCTCTCTATCCAAACAAGAAAAACTGTTTTCTATCTCATTTCCTTTTCCATTTCAAATTACTTGAACCAAACATAGTGTTAGAGAAACGTAACACAAACATCCTCCAAATCAAACCTTCTTAACCCAAATTCACATCTAAACTCAATAATTGCAAATCGATAAACAAAAAAATAACAACAAAAAAACAGGCAAACTTATACACTATACAGGTAAAAAATATGAAGAGTTAAAATCATCTTAATTAACACCATCATTTATAAATAGAAAGATTATACAGAAACATCTATAGCCCATAAAAACAACTTTGAATCTCTTTTGATTCCTATTTTGAGCTTTGGCATTCTTACTCTAGGTATTTTTGTTCTTGGGCCATACAAATGAACAAACAAATCTTAAAAATAAAGTATGTGTAGTAATTGTACCCTTTACCTCATTGCCATTTGTATATCTTGTCTAATCTTCCCCATCCTCACTTGGATTACCAAACTCTTCTCTGCATTCCCCTCATTGACTTCAAATAAAAATCTAAAAATACTTGGATACCACATAACAACACAACAAACAAAAGCATTCCTTAATAAAAGAATCCAACAAACTTTTAAATTTTTAATCATAATTAAAAGCCAAACTCAGATCCTTATTTAAAAAATCAGAAATGTAACCAAATTTTAACCCAATTAAAACCTAATATTAATCCGTCTAGACTGTAACATATACACAAAATACTACTAAAATAGATCATAGGCATAAATTTGGACAAAAACTAGGAAGTCATTGAATAACAACTCGAATTTAGAGTTTATACTGGCAAAAAAATATTAGAGGCTTGAAGTTATTGGATTTGATGCTGAAATTTCAATCATATTACCTTCTTTGCGGCAATCGCTGCCAGAAACTAGAAGGTTGCCACTGCTCGCCTAGTTGCAGGCTCACTCTCGATTCGCACCCTTGCAAAACTGGATCGGGGGCTAAGGTTAGAGACCATAGCCCTGTCGTTGTCTCACCTTCGCCGGCCCTCGCTCCCCTCCGTAACTGTTCGGTTTAGAGAAGAAAATAAGAAGAATTTCGATTGTGTAAATCTAGTGAATTGTGAATGATTTTTCCTCCTGTTGTGCAATTACTCGGTGTATGGATAAATGGGCCTAAAAAATACGTAAACCTTTGAGTCCAATCATTTATATATTTAGATAGAGTTAAGTGCACCGTTTACCCCCGTACTCTTTAGAAATTGCATGTTTTACCCCTGAACTTTAAAAAGTGCATCGATTACCCTTGAACTCTTCAAAAATTGCACGATTTACCCCTGCAGACTAAAAATGCACCAAATACCCTTGAACAAATTAAAACGTTGCATCGTTGGTCGTAAACTATTAGATAGCGAGGGCGTTGCTTCCACGCACAAGAATTGTGAATATCATTCATCTGACCCGTGTGAATTTTCCAAAATATCTTTACCCAAAATTGTCATCTTTATTTAAGGGGCTATTTGTTTCAGCCTCTTAATGGTTCAGATGTCTGAATGGTTCAGCACTTAATGGTTTAGACTGTTTGTTTCAGCCTCTTAATGGTTCAGAAGTATGAATGGTTAAGAGATTTAACTCTGAATGGTTAAGTATTATACAGAGTCTGAATGGTTAATATCTCTTATCTGAATTGATCAGACATTTGCCTCTGAATAGTTAAGAAATATACTAGCTTTTAATGGTTCAGACCTCTTACTGGTTCAGCACTTAATGGTTCAGACCTCTTACTGATTCAGCACTTACCCATTCAGAAGTTGCCAAACAGCCCCTAAATGTTCAGGAGTAAACCGTACAATTTTTGAAGAGTTCAGGGGTATTTGGTGCAATTTTTATTGTTCAGGGGTAAACCGTGCAATTTCTGAAGAATTCAGGGGTATTTGGTGCACTTTTTAATGTTCGGGGGTAAACCATGCAATTTTCAAAGAATTTGGGGGTAAACGGTGCACTTAACTCTATTTAGATATAGTAGCAATTTTACACAATTTCCACAATATGTCTAATATTTTGTGGCAAAATCTTATTTGCTACAAAAATTTGTTCAATCTTTACATATTGTGGCAAATACTAATTTTGCTACTAAAATTTTGCTACAAAAAGTCATATTTCTTGTAGTGATTGCAGTTCAAAAATCATAGCCGTTGGGCACCTCATTCAATGACCAACAGCCATATTTTTTAACACCAAGGGCCCAAATTCTCTTTTCCTATAAATATTAACCATCCTTGGTCATTTTTAACACACAATTCACATTCCTCTTGCATACTTTCTAAACGCTTCAACAATGGCCAGAGGAAAGTCAAGGACCAAAACCGAGGCTTCAATGAAGAAGGCCAACACCGATGCCACGACATCTTCTTTATTTTCTCCTTATTAAATATGATTCTATTTTTATCTGTTGTATTCTGCATTTCCCTTTTAATGAATAAAAGGTTACTTTTAATTCTTTTTGTTAATGTCAAAATGGGGAAGATATAAAGGTTATGCATAGATTGAGGGGGAACTATTTCTAAAACTAACTCTTATTCAACACATAAACTTTGTTGAAAAGAAAATTGCATTTATTAAGGGGGAACATTTTTTTAAGTCTCAAATCAATCCTCCTATGCATAACCCCGTCTTGTTTGCCATTATCAAAAAGGGGAAAATTGTTGAAACACGGGTTTATCACGTTTTCGTACTAAAGCCGTGTTGGTTGTTATGACAGGTTTTGATAATGCCAAACCGCCGTGAACGAGACAAGTCATTGAATATACAAGGCGAGAACCAAAGATGAGAAGAAAGAGAACAAGGGCCCAAAGAAGACCAAGAACGAAGACCGTAGTCTTAGTGTTATTGAGTCGGTCATAATTGTGATCAAAACCGACCCAACCTTTACACCTTGGCTCTTTAGGCTAAACCTCTTTTCATTGCATTTCACACATCATAAAAATGTTTTTCAAACATTTTTAAAACATTAAAAACACTTGGTGTTCGCCCAAACCAAAAACCAAGCCATCCGGCGTTCGGGTTTCAGAAACCGGCATTCGGCATTCGGTTTTCGGCATTGGTTTTTGGCGTCCGAACTAACCAAGTGGTTTTCAACTTTTTATGATTGCTTTTTACTTGTGGGCACATTTAAATAGTTTTCCATCAAAAACACTTCAAAAACCACCTTTCGTTTTTCGTCGTTTGATAAAAACCATGCGAAACGGCATAACTTGGCTAGCCGTGGTTTTTACTTAAATGAAGTGGTTTTCGAGTCTTTTTGTATAAGAATTGTTTTTGAATCCATTTAAATGGTTCTTCAATCAAAACATCATGAAAACCACCTTTCGGTTTTGTCTTTTGGTGAAAACCACCCGTGTACGGTGTTGACTTGGTCAACCGTGGTTTTTACCTTAACGACGTGGTTTTCAACTTACAAAGCTTGTTTTGACATCAAAATACATTAAATAAGTGTTTTATATACTTAGTTTTTACTTTGGAGAACTTTGCATTTTTCGGTCGGGTTTCAACGCCGGTCAGCTAGGCCATGGTTCTGGGCTAGCCATCTACCCAGCGATGGTAGACTTCACCCATGCATGGGTAAGTGATCCCGGGATTCCAGAATCATGCCACCCAGCGATGGGAAGATCTTCCCATCGATGGGTAAGCAGTCCCTCAGCGAAACTGATTTCCAGAACCATGCCAAACAGCGATGGGAAGTTCTACCCATCGCTGTTAAAGCTTTGGTCCAACATCACACAAGGCAGAATGCCCTTACCCAGCGATGGGAAGCTTTACCCATCGATGGGAACCCAGCGATGGGAAGGCTTAACCATCAATGGGAAGGCATGACCGTTGGTAGTCATTTAAGGCTGATTCTTTCCTTATTTGAAAGTCAACCTCCCACCCAGCGATGGGAAGCATCTACCCATCGATGGGTAGGTAACCGTTGCCTTCAAAACTGAAGGAAAATTGGCTTACTAGCGATGGGTAAGTCTCAAACATCGATGGGAAGCCAATATTATGCAGATCCCAAATCTTTTCAATCCCATAAATCAAGCCAATCATCCCTTAAATGTTTTGATCCGTTGGAGCCTACTTTGGCACTATAAAAAGGGGTGTTTGGGTCTGCTTTTCCAATCAATTCACTTCACAATATTCATATTATCATTGCATCCAAATCACATTATTTTCCATAGCTTTCTAGAGCCAATTTGTGTGAAGTTTGAGTTGTTCTTGAGCGTATATATTTTACTCATATCCACNATATCCACTCTTAAGGAGAGTCTTGTTCTTGAGTGTCTTAGTGTTGTATACACGTTAAGGGAAGCTTGTTTCCCTTGGTTGTACGAAGGAAAGGTATTTTCCTTCGGGTTGAAGTCTTGGAGTGCGGTATCTCCGAGCAAGTGTTGTTGAGGCTCGTGGGACTCGAGTTCTCAGGTTGTAACGGTTTGTTAAGCACCCGTAAGCTTAACGGAAGTAGTGTAGCTCGAGAGAGTCTCTCGGGAGACTGGATTAGCCACACGTTGTGGTGAACCAGTATAAAATCTTGGTGTGCTCCCTTTACGCTTTCTATGCTCTTTACTTTTCACGTTCTTAATTTTTTATTTCTGCGATTTCTACGATCAAACGCTATTCACCCCCCCTCTAGCGTTGGTCACTTATTCTAACAATGTTCCTGGCAGCAGAAGGCGCAAGGTGATCGTGGTGGATTTATGATTTAAAATGAATGAATTAAATTATTATGAGACATGATTTAAATTGCTTCCGCGTTTTATTTAAACACTCCGTATTTCTCTATAGTTATGTATGGGATATTATTTATAATGAATAAAAATGTTTGAAATGTTTTAAATTATCACGATTACCAAATCAATACTTTAGTCCGAAAGGGGCTGCAGATCTGGATGGATTAGGGTGTTACATGATGACTACACCTTAGTGTGAATCAAGAATTACCAAAGTAAGATAGCAAATCATACCTGATACTCGAACTCTACCTCCTCACACTCAAATTGGACTACGTCCTTATAGTCCAAATGCAAGAGATGAGTCAAGAAACCGGGCTAACATTCCTCCTCACACTTGAAATAGACAAATAAGTGCAAGCATGAATCCATAAAAGTTTTCATAAATAAGTTAGAGTAGCAAAAATAAATAGGGCAAGTCAAAATAAAATTGTTAAATCAACAGAAATTAAAAATATCTCCAGTACTGGTGGCTGGCTTTGGAGGAAGGAGCTGTGGGCCTTCGCACCGAGCAGCATCTCGAGCTCATGGAGCTTCTCAGTGTGGGACTCCAGGGGTATTCATCCTCTTCATTTGCTTCTCATGGGCGCTATGGTTAGTCTCTATGATGTCCTTCACGTCCTAGATGTTGGTCTTGAGAGCGCCCATCCTCGTGTTTAGTCTCATCATCTCCTCCAAGATCTTCTGTAGCATGGATACCTCAACGCCACTCGACGAAGCTGTGTACGTCCCAGGCTGAACAAAAGAAGAAGAACCCCCAACCACGAACGTCCCTGTGGTGGCATCTGGAATGGGAGAATGGACAGTGGTATCAAGCCCATCAAAGAAATCTAGTGGCGGCTCGTCGGTCTCCCCTACTCGGCGCCTCTTCCCAATCTCCATCTTCGTGAGAGATGTGGTGCTCAGAGGGCGAATGCTCTGGTCAATGGGAAGCAGATTACAAAGCAAAGTAACGAAGCTAAATATAGCGGTAAGTGAATAAATAACCGAGTTAGACTCGGGTCGTTCTCTCGAGGAGTGACAAAGAGAATAGTTAGTTTTATTATTTATCACAGGTAGATTTATAGTCTAAGAGATGCGAACAATTAAGAAATAATTGACTAAAATAAATGATAAACTAACTTCAGGAGTTAAGATTGGAACGCAGACTTAACACAATTTAACTCATCTTTAATTAACAATTGGATTAATGAAATGTATATCACTTATGTTTAATATATCTCCTATTTCTAGGTCCTAATATAAACATAAATGATAATCTTATAATTAATACATCTCATATTTCTAAATCTTAGTATTAATTTATAAGATTATTATATTTCCATCTCCTTTTTCTAGGTCTCAGTACTGTGTTAGAAAATGCTCGGCTTAAATAATTATAAATCCTCATAGAAGAGGCAAGAACTATTTTACAATTAATTAATTAATAAAACGTTTAGTATTATTAATTAGTTAAAACCATTCCAAAGAGTTATTTCAAACCTTGCCTATTTCTAGGTGTTCGGAACGTGTGGCTTAATTAATCTTATTACCTCATAGACAAGATAAAAGATTAATTTCCAAAGATTAATTAATAATAAAAACAATTTTATCGACTAATAAAGATTAAATCATTCTCTAACAATTAATCCAATTACTAATAAATAGATCAAATTAAATTGGTTAAATCTTAATTCCAAATAATAACCCATATACAATTTTAACCATCACAAATTTAGTACAATATTTAAGAGTAGAAAAGGGAGAATTTTTGCCCTAAAAAGGGGGAAACGAATTTGAAATTGTTTAGGGACAAAATGGAACCGCATGCTATTTACATAGGGAGGATCATATCGCTACCAGGCGTGTCGCCGCCACTGTTGGAGCTTCGAGAATTTTTTCAACGTTGTATGCCGTTGAGAGGCGGGCAGGTAGGCTGCAGCCTGCCAGCCCGCCTGCGCTCTCCATTCCCGATGGGTTGCTTCTCGCCGTTGCCACCAACTAGCCGGTGGTGAGGCACGCGGCCGCCGGCCAGGTTGCCCATCAGGCCACCGGAATCTGCTGCTCCTACTTTGCTCTAAATTTTGTTCTGAACATTTTTTCCTTCTACACCAACTTCTAATTCCGCACTATTTGGGAGATAGAATTATTTTTCTATTAAAAATTTATTCTTTTTACTCCATTCTCGGCCCAAATTTTACATATTAATTTAAAACCATTCTTTTTATGATCAATTTCTCAAAGTATATATTTTTGATGAAAAAGAATAAAGAATTTATTGTTTTGATAACAAAAATGGTACAAGAACCAATTAAATATGAGTAAAAAGATAACTACGAAATGGACTTATCTATCCTAAACAAGATAGAGATCCGAAATTGAATAGAAAGTTGAAAATACAATTATTCCCAAACTAAGGAGTGAATAAAGCTAATCTAAAGTGGTATATCCAACGCACCATATTATTTCTTAATTCTTTCATTATATCTCATCCTTGTGTGTGTGTGTGTGTGTGTATATATATATATATAATATATATATATATATAGGGATTGACTCCAGTCAGATGACATGTTTCGGTCAGATGACACTTTCGGTCAGATGACATGCTTCAAAATGAGCACCACCTTGTTTGAGAATGAACACCGCCTTATTTCAGAATGAACACTACACTGAGCAGACTGTGAATGAGTGACTAGGTTGTTTCAGAATGAGTACTACGTTTATAATGAACAAATGTGTGAAAGTCAACCCTACGATGTCTTAGAATGAACACTACGTGGATTCAAAATGAACCCTATGTTGTCGTCTCGCTGGCTATGAATGAACACTACATTGTGATGAACAGTTGTGTGAGAATGAATCCTACGTTGTTTAAGAATGAGCGCTACATTGATTCAAAATGAGCATTCGTTGTCATCTGACCGAAAGTGTCATCTGACCGAAACATGTCCTCTCACTGGAGTCAATCCCATATAGGGATATATATATATATATATAGGGATTGACTCCAGTTCTAAATCAATGTAGCGCTCATTCTTAAACAACGTAGGATTCATTCTCACACAACTGTTCATCACAATGTAGTGTTCATTCATAGCCAGCGAGACGACAACATAGGGGTTCATTTTGAATCCACGTAGTGTTCATTCTAAGACATCGTAGGGTTGACTTTCACACATTTGTTCATTATAAACGTAGTACTCATTATGAAACAACCTAGTACTCATTCACAGTCTGCTCAGTGTAGTGCTCATTCTGAAATAAGGTGGTGCTCATTCTCAAACAAGGTGGTGCTCATTCTGAAGCATGTCATCTGACTGGAGTCAATCCCATATATATATATATATATATATATATATATATATATATATATATATATATATATATATATATATATATATATATATATATATACACACACACACACACATTTTGGATCAAGTGAGAATATGATATAATGAAAGAAATAAGAATGCATCTCGTGCATTAGATGCAAGATCTAAGTGCTTGAAAAATTAAAAAAACCACAACGTAAAATGCATTGTGACGGCATAAAATGCATCATTCTCGCGATAAGGTCTATTTACGCAGTAAGGACCATTGTCACTTGAACCAATCCCTACACACACACGCACACACACACACATGTGAAGTATGTATGTATGTATGTATGTATGTATGTATGTATGTATGTATGTATGTATGTATGTATGTATGTATGTATGTATGTATGTATGTATGTATGTATGTATGTATGTATGTGTAACACCCTAATCCGTCCAGGTCTGCAGCCCCTTTTAGACTAAAGTATTTAACTTGAAAATAGTAAAAATTTAAAACTTTTCAAACACACTATATAAATCCCAATAATATTTTCATAACATATACAGTACAGAGTATTCAATAATATTGCGGAAGCGAATTTAATTTTGACACATCAAAAATCATTTCAAACTTGTCAGAGTATTCAGAGCATATCTAATGCATCAAACATCCATATAAACTGAATCTAAATTCATAGTCAAATCATTTGATATCATGCATACAATGTTCATTTCAGACATTCACAGTTTTGATAATGTTCAGTTCATATCAACACATTTTATTCAATTCAGATATTATTCCGACAGTGCCCTTAAATTATTCTTAATCTAAGGCCAAATAATAACAATGCTCTTAGCTATTCTTAGTCTAAGGCCAGATCATAACAATGCTCTTAGCTATTCTTAGTCTAAGGTCAGATCATAACAATGCTCTTAGCTATTCTTAGTCTAAGGCCAGATCATAACAATGCTCTTAGCAAGGAAATTAATTATCAAACACTTAAACTATCATTAGTTTAAGGCAATTGATTTCGGACACTTAACTGTAGTTAGTTAAGGCAATCAGACACTTAAACTATCACTAGTTTAAGGCAAATGATTTAGACACTTAACTGTAGTCAGTTAAGGCAACAACAACAATATGGCAATTGATCAACATTGGATCGGGCATTCCCAAACGAGTAATCCTCTAGCTTGGTCTACGAATCTCGTTTATGAATTTTTATCTAATTCATCGAATATTCATGTTTCACAAATCCATACTAATATGAGATCTATTCTAGAGGTCTTCTAGATAGCCTTAACATCAATTCTCTAAATGTGTATATCTTAGAGTTCCTCTAGATACCTTTAACACTACAACTCATTTCATAATTATAATTGTATTCATTTTACTCATGATTCAATCATAAATACTTATTTTAATCAGTGGGTTCATTACTCATAATCATCCATAATATTCATTTATCATAATCATCAATTAACATAACAATTGATAACAAATAGCGGCCTAGCTTCGAGTGTTAATACCCGAACTTACCGTCATGCAACACATAACATTTTTAGTTGTTAAATACATCATTTTTATTGTGGTAAATCATTTTTATAATGATCATAATCAATTGGTATCAAAAATAGGATTTTAGAGTTCAAAAATAGCATTTTCAGACAAATTTTTGGATCAGAACTTCGGGGAATCGATCCAGCCCTCTGGATCAATCCATATATGGAGAAATTACCCCCAGGTGATCGATCCATCCATTTGGATCGATCCAGACAGCCTAGTTTTTGGTAACTGTTCATCTTCTTCTTCGTTCGGGTCCAATTTCGAAAATAC